AAACCCGAGCCGCCTCCTGGCACGTCTGGAACAGTCCGAGGAGTAGGGTTACGGCGGAGCGCGGCTGAGGAGGGCGCGGACAGCCGCGTTGCGTAACTAGCGCCTCCGATGGCTGCTAAATATAAAGTGGAGCCTTTTATAATGGGGCTGTAAGTCGGCCTGGGGGGGAACAATGATGAGCGGCTCAGTGACCTGTCGTAGTTGTAGTTAATATTTGGAGGCAGTTTTTGTTGCTTGGTGATTTTTGGTAACGTGGGTAAAAAATTTCCTAGTTTCGCATTCCGATAAGGTGCAGTAGGACGGGGGGACGCAGTGCGCAGACCTCATGTACAACGGATTCATTGTGTCCTCTTCACATTGGCTGCGAGGTTTTTTTTGTTTTTTTTTCTTTGCTGTAACTGGGCATGTTTAACCAACCCCCCCCCCCCCCAACACACACACGGTAGTAACCACAGATCAGGAAGTGCCTGTTGTCAACGGCAACCCTATGCTGGAACAGATCCAGCTTGTGGATTTGGAGGGTGACTAAGCTATTTACAGTAATTGGGCCTGGGTTCATTGTGTGAGGACCTGCCCGCATGTGTCCCCCTGTCCAGCGCGGCCTGGCTGTCCCACCCGTGCGCTTGTTTTTAAGTCTGATGTGTCCTTCAAAATCCTAAGATGCTAAGATTTCATGCACAAACACCCCGGCCCAGTTTTGCGCTGATGCAATTTGGCAGTTATGCTTGCAAATAGTTATACAGATTATTGAAATGCCTTCTGGTTGCTGACAAAGCTGCAGGTGTTGTCCCTAAATTAAGTCATGTACTGTGCATAATTCACTATCCAACACATGTGATTCCTCTCTGTGCGTCAGGCTTTGAGCCTGATCAAGAACTCCATGTACTGGTCAGATGGAACATCTTACTTCCATTGAATGACAGTGAATGACAGCATCCTAAAGATCCTTCGGCAGTGCTGTGGTGTGGGGGTGTCGCTCCCCGTCCCGCTTGGACACGATAGCCGCGCTCCCGTCAGCCGGCACGGCTACTCCGCCGAGTGTAATCCGTACCGCGTATGTAGGTCAGCCAGGCTGGCGGGGTCTTGTGCCACTTTGCCCACACGGCGGGAAGAGCTGCCTCCGTGTCTGAGAGAGCTCACGACGCGAAAGGAAGCAGAGGTGTGATTTCCAAGCAACGATCTCTGCGATAACCCCAAGGTAATGGAGTTTGCCGATTTTTCCCAAGCTGCGCTTACACCAATCGTTTTGTCTCGAAAGTATGTAAATAAACAGAAGGACCCCAGCCACCCTGGGAAGGAGGAAGGTGAGGATTGGTTATCCATTTATGTCTTTAACCTTGAACTCGAACCAACCTAGTCTCCCCCCCTCCTCCCGCCTCCCCCGTTTGATAATCCCAGATGGCTTCCATACCCAGCTCTGCAGTTCGGACTGTCTGCCGGCTGTCAGCTGATCTCAGTATCACTGAAGGTTTTTATTTATTTAAGCACACCGCCACAGCACTCCAGACTCTTCACACGCCCTTCTGTAACCCCCCCGCCCTCCCCCACCACCCTTTGGTTGCCGGAGCGCCCCATCATGGCTCCGGGGTGTTGCCTGAAACCCTGACCCTTACGGGAATGTGCCGTCTACATCGCATTTGCGGTAACCAGTCTTCTCCCTCTGGCTCTTGGGTGAATTAGAACCGCTCTTATCGGTGCCAGATTAGATTTTCATCTCTTCTGGGTCTTGAATGATTAAACGACTGATGCTCTGTCTCACGGGGAGTGTCGCACTTGTGACCCGTATCCAATAGGGACTCTGAATCTCGTCTACGTAGTGCATTTGCCGTGTGACTTTGATTAATAGCTGTGCGGGGACAAAATGCGGCTTCTCTCAACTGGTCCTGGTATCTGCTGTCAGAGGGTAAAAAATATTGTTTAATCTGGTGGACTTGGTCTGCTTAGATGTGCTATAAGAAGACAATGTTCTAGCAGTCATAAATTAGAGCTTGTGGGAGTTTTACATATACAAAAATGTTCTGAGGATAGAAGGAAAAATTATTGGTTCAGAGAAAGAATTGATTAGATTGTAGAGGTGGTGGGTACAAGCAACTAGAGGAAGTGGAACCAAGACATCTGATTGGTTGGTCTTGCCTCCTCTAGTTGCTTGGACCAAGCTCCAGTACAATCTGATTTGTTATCTCTCTGAACCAATCATTGTTTCTCCTGTCCTCAGAACATTTTTGCGTAAATAAAACTCCCATGAGCTAAGGAAGACCTATCCACTCTGATTGCGGGAAATTTCACAATTCCATGTGGTCTGCCTTACAGGGTGTTATAATAATATGCCACAGGTGTCGCTCAAGGAGGGTCACCAATTTTATTTGAATTATTCAAAATTTACCTAGCATGCGTATCACGTCTTTTATAAATGTGCAAAATTGAATTCTCTGACAGCAAAGATGAGGGTAAATCTCTACCAGCCAGGTCAATGCCTTGAATTACAACAAGTCTTCCAATAAATATATTTATTTTCATTTTACCATTTGAAAGTAAAGGTTTCATCTGAGGCCAAATTCACACCGGCAACCAGAACAGCTGTATTGCGAGACTGCAGCAATAGCGCAATGAAAATAAAAGCTTTTCATATTGAGTTCTTGCTACGCTATTTAAATAATTTATGAAGCATCCTTGGCCTTTCAATGCTAATGCGGTGTTAGCATCGTGCTTTTTCTGTTTGTGTGTATTAGCAACACTCTTACCGATGGCCATCAGAATCGTTTCTCCTGGCGATCCCACTAGATTTCTGCATGGGTACTTGGGTCATGAGGAGACATGAGGTATTTTCCTAACAAACAGATAAACGATCGCTCTTAAAGCCCCCCCCCCTCCCCCCAACAGGTTAGGCAGCTGTTTTAGTGTTTGTGTGTGTGTGTGTGTGTGTGTGTGTGAGACAATGTTTGTCCAAGGCCTTATGTTGAAAACTAGCACTGGGATAAGTGTGTGTGTGTGTGTGTGTGTGTGTGTGTGTGTGTGTGTGTGGAGGGGGGGGGGGGGTTTGCCTCCCCCTGCCCTCAACAAACTATTTTTAAAAAAAAAAAAAAAAAAAAAAAAAAAAAATCCCATATCTTGAGATAAATGTTTATTGTTCTGTGGACATTCTGGATGTGTCAAGGTAGGGCATGATAAATTTCATGACACAAATAATTGGTCATATTGTATAACAGGAAATGGATGCTAATTGCCAATTGCCTACTTTTCATTAGATATTCTTGTGGGAAACTCTCTAGAGTGATTATTTTGACAGAATTCTGTGGTTGTGTAAAATAGATCTGCGTACTTGTGATTTAGTGTTGTACACCTGTGCAGAAAAGATTGTGTTTAGAAAGTCTTGGGCTCTGAGTTTTCAAAGTCACAGATTTGCAACTTCACATTTGCACATATTTTTAGAAGCCATGTTACAACTACGATTCAGGATTTCAAGTGCACAAACTCAATATGCAGCTACGAATCGGGATTTCAAGTGCACAAACTCAATATGCGTGCGCTCGGAATGCTGGGATTTCTGGCAGCTTTGTCACACACTCAAAGTTTTGTAAACCCGTAACTGCCAGACAGGGAGCAGCCAATGGGCAGGATCTCTGCGCCATAACAGCTAGTCAAAAATCATTTGACTTTTGTTTCAGTTATTATTGGTTGGATTCTCCAGACTATCAAAATGAACTGGATGCCTAGACATGGGTATGGCTGTCTGCTTGGGTTCACAGTTTTAGTACAGCATGGGCAGGGAATTTTGTTTTGAAATTGTTAGTTTATTATTAAGATTGCAAACACTATATAGGAAATATTATAAACCAAACATGAAGCGGGCCATATGTTTAATTTTTAGACAAAGCCATGTGGGATGTCACCAACTTTTATTAAAACAGTGTGATCAAGACCAAATTAAATACAGGGTTTCCTTCCCTGTTTGTATACCGAATGCCGTTCCAGTGCCAGTCTTAATTTGTCAAGTGTTTTTAAACATCACGGTTTCTTTTGGGGTCGAGGTCATAGGGGATCGTTCACAGGCCCTGCAGCCCCAAATGTGAAGTTGCAAATCGGTGACTTTGAAAACCCGAGTGTGCAAAACTTTTTTTTGTAAACACAAATTTTGCTGCACGGGTGTACAAAACCAAAACTCAATTACGCAACCCTGGAATTCTGTCACAAAAATCACTCCATAAAACTCTTGTTGTGGAACACTGTTTAACGGCACTTTACTGCTAATCGGCGTAATCTGCTGAAACACGTTAATGCCTCTTATTTCAAAGGAAATTTAAAACCCTTTACATAATTTTCTTGTTGGTGGCGACTTACTTTTCCGAGAGTAGTCAATGGAAGCGTTTGGTTTTTTTCCTCACGTTAAATTTTAACCCTGCTGGAGACACAGTGAAGAAATTCTTGATTTATTTATTGTTTATTTGAAGTTTTGTGTTTGGTTGGAGAGCTGCTTTCTCTGAGACTAGTGTGGCACAGAGACTTATTGTGTTAACAATACCTTTAATGGCTTTAAACTAAGAATAGAGGATTAGTACTTCTTAGAACCTGCCCACTGAGTGTCAGGCTCAGAACTGACTGCGTCGCTGTAGTTTTCCATAAGTTTCCCTCTCAGCACTCAAGGGACCCGCCTCCCAAAGGTTAGCCTGTTGTGTCCTGAGCTTGAAATGCGAATAGGGGTGGGGCCACAGAACCACTAGCTGCAGCTGAAACCTGATTGGCCCCCTCCCCTGTCACTCACTGATTCAAAATAAATCATTGGCTAATAATTCATAGGTAGGCACCAACCTTATGTCCTTGCTTATGCCTCCCTCCTTAAAAAAAAAATCCTTGAATTGCCTCTGAATGTGAAGCCAGTATGCAGCCTGCTCATGATGTGTCTCTCTCTGTCTTCCTCTCTCTCTCTCTCTCTGTCTCGTTCTCTCTCTCTCCCTCTCTCCCCCCCCCCCCCCATCCCTTCCCGGGCTGCCCGGACCCCACAGATTAATCAGCCACTCGATGGGGATTTTCAGAGGAGCTCCCACCTGCGCCGCCCCCCCTCCTGTGAAACGCCCGGACCCCCTCTTCAGCACCGCCTCTATAGAAATCATGAAACTTGTATTAACTGAATGGAATTTGATATGGATTTTTGCTGCTTGTAGTAGACAGTAAAAACCCGACCCATGTCTGAGCCATATCTGAGTACACACCCATACCAAATACCCGAGTCTGCTCTGCACGCCCGTCACCACCTCCCAAACACCGTACGGAATATATTTGTGCACTGAAGGGTTTCTGGAGAGTTCCTGAATACTCGGAACGGAGAGCGACAACAGGTGGCGCCGTTGGAGTCGCCTGCACCCTTCTTCAGATCTCTGGTTCTTTTTTTTTGCCTTTTACTTCATCACGCTGCTCGCATGCGGGTGGCGATGGCTCCCCAGAATGCCGAATCGGATACTATGCAAGTGCAGGGCCTGGAGGTGGTCCCTGTGAAGAAGCCGGCCGGTGGCCCGGAGCAGGAGAGCCAGGACGAGTCGGTGAGCGAGGGGTCCATAGACCGCATCCCCCTCCGCAAATGGGTCATGCACGGGGCCGTCATGTTCGGCCGGGAGTTCTGCTACGCCATGGAGACTGCCTTGGTCACGCCAGTATTGCTGCAAATAGGTAAGTCCCGTCTGATTGGCCGGTGCGGAGGATGGGCTGCCCATCCTCAAACACGAAGCATGAGCTGAGAACACAATCAAAGCAATAGGGACTCAGATGATGTGCTAGTTATACAAACCTAATACCTTACTCAGTCAGGGTATAGAAACTTTATCATAAGTGGAATGTGTTTCACAGGAAGTGGGGCAATGTGAACAGGAAATAGTTTTACTGGAAGTGTGGGGTCAACCTCGTCCCTTGAAATCATGGATTTGTCACTTTGTAATAAACACACAGAAGGGCTCTGAATATTTCAGTACCTTCACGAGCTGCATCCAAGCACTGGATGTATCACACTGGCACTTTATGACACGTCCACACTCGTTTTAAAGGTTTCCCATCCGCCGATGAGCTTCTCGCATGCATTTCTGCATGATGGTGCAGCGCAAGAGCTACTTTGAATAAAAGCACTTTTGCTCAGTTAGCAGGATAATGTTTCGTGAAGCAGATGGATGCGTCAGCTCTCGACTTGTCTAAAACGGAGGCTCGATTTACCCCTACGAGGGCCTGGAGATCCGTGCAAAACCTGTATGTCCTGCTGCATGAGCTGGCTTCACCTGGGACGTTCTCCTCCCCTTTTACGTAACGCCCCGACATTCGCATCTAGCCTCAATAATGTGCCCCGTGCCTCAAATCTCATTTTTATAATGTAAGTCCGATTCATCCCAACCCAGAGAGAGACGACGGTTTGGTGTCCATTTGAGTTTAAGCGCTTGGGTGGAAAGAATGTGTAAGCATTGGTAATGTCGCACATTCCCACGTCACCACGGCCATAAACGACCTCATTGTTGGACACTCTGCCATCGCATCACAAAAACAGGGTCACCACATCCATACTCTGTAACACTTACAGACAATGGGTTCATGCAGATGGTGATTGGCGTGCAGAATGTAGTTGGTTTGACGTGTATACGATTCATGGGCTCATTTTATCGATCAGGCGGGATGTCTCCAGTATCGTTCCGGGTCACCTAGTAGCAGGGACCTCAATCCCTCATCGCCTGACATCTCCATTTCCCCAAAGGTGGAGATCCCCCAAAGGCGTGTTTGACGGGCCGCTTTCGGAACCAGCTGAAGGTGCTGCTCTTTGGTGGGCCTTAGCGATCCGGTGGGACCGCCCAGAAGCATACAGAGTGCAGCATCTTCCTTTCACAACGAGCTAATTGGCCAGGCTAATGGGGGGGGGGAGAAAAAGAGAGATGTTCCCGATGAATGCGATGGGTTACCGCTGATGAAATTACGTCTGGTTTTTTATGGTCCTTAATGGACGCGTCTGCGTTATGGGAACCGGCTTTACACTCAATTACTGAGGTTACTTTACAGAGACACGTGAAGGGGGGAAAAAACCTGTACGTCACAGGAACCAAACAATTTCTTTTGCCAGTGGAAAATGAAAGAAGAATTAGCCTTTTGTTTTTTCGTTCCGTAGTTGAGGCGCCTTGTCATTGTGCTCGGAGATGGACGGTAATGCTCTGAATGCTCTGTTGCCCTAACGGCTATAATCTTACACGGCATGACGGAGAGAAGGGCACTGTGCCACTTGATGTCTAAGGCTACGTTAGCAGGATAATGCTGCCGTCACTCACGCCTACCCCGATGCAGCCACCTCTCCTGAAATGCTGCCCTCCGATCCTGATGGCCTGCTACCCCTGCAGACCCCCCTCATCGCAGCCCTACCATCCTACTCCATCGTCTTGCAGCCCGGAGCTGTGGAAATGCTGAGTAAGGCTGCGAGTGTGAGGCTGTGAATGTTCACTGGAGCTATCTGGCATGGCGCAGACTCTCTTGCCGCCTTGAGCCTGATGGGCAGTGCTGGGGGTATTTTAGGAAAGATGGGCGGGGGTTAGTCACTTCTTGGTCTTTGAAATTTCCCTGTCAGCTAAGCTCTCCTGAGCGGCAAAGCCGCTGTGTCGTTGATGATCATAGCAGAGAGGTTGTCTGTACGGATCCAGAGTTACTGTATGGCTCAAAGGCTGTGTAAGGCTGCCCAGGAGCTCAGGTGCCATTTCATAAGCTGGAGATCCTTGGAGATGTACTGTGGGCTGTGGTTTAGGTTCCTGTCTTCTGCCTATTCTAATAGAAGCCTGATGGGGCCGTAGATCTTCTGTCTAATCAATATTTCTATCAGCTGTAGCTTTTGGGCTGTAGCTCATGATGCTTGTGCTGTAGGTGGGCTTTTCTCAGAGCCAGCTAACAAGTGATTGGTTTGGGTGACTCTACCTGGTTCAGTTAGTCTTTACTACTGGGTTCATTCTTATTAATTAATAAGAATTAATAATTCTTATTAATATAAGGTAACGTCGCCCTTGATGCGCTTTCTTGTTTAATAATTATTGCCTGTTTCTAAGGGTCTCACTGTTGCTTTCACATAAAGGTGTGCCTCAGACCAGCAGGGGGCACTGTTGAGGGGTAGCTGAATTCTCAGATAAAGGGCCGTCTTTAGCCAGATAGAACTTCACATGGAGGCTTTACTTAGCCTGCAGCAGAAAGTCACAAACCGACACTTCCTCAGTTCAGAGGTGCCGTTGGACTCGTGACTTTCTGGTTACCCTCAATGTAAGCATCTACGTATCTTTTGGAAAACCTCTAATGTGATGTACAGCTGTGAGGGGGGGGGGGGGAGTTTGTGCACCTGCTGCAATTATCTGGATGTCTGCTTGAAGGACATTGATGGAAAAAGTATGTGAAAGTGTAGGATGATGGCCTCTTGAACAGAGGGTAATTGAAGCCAGGTGTCAGCTGTCATCACTTCGAATCAGAGGGGTAGGCTAATGTCCTGCCATGCAGGGTTTATGGTGACTTCGCTGCTCATTTTTTGCACTGTCGTAGCAGCCGTGTGAGTTTCGATGTGGAGCGCCGTAGATGCAGGGACTCGGAAGTGCAGCGTCCGTCTGTGACGGATCATCAGCACAGCTGCTGCAGGGAACGTCGCCATGGTCCCTCCCTGCAGGAGGCTGCCGCTTGTCATCCAGGCTGCCATTGAAGCACCATGAGGTTCCTGAGGAACTGGCTGGTTTCCCTCAAAACTCCACGCAGACCTATGGCAGAGGAAAAATTCAACCAGCAGAAGGATCCTAGAGCGACTCTTATCTAATTTTGGATCAGATTGGCCCAAAATGGAAAGTTGGGGTTAGAGGGTCAGCACAATTCCTGTCTCGGGTTTCTAAGTTGACTCCATTTAACATTTTTACCCTGTTTTATCTGAAGGATGATACACTAATGTGTCCAGTTAACGTTCTTGAGAACATTCAGTCCTCATTACTTTGGCACAGCTGTTGTTTAGTGTCTGTGTGTCTTTGCTGGTTGAACTAAGTCTGTTACCCAGCTGGCCGTCGTCTAATCTGGCGTCTTGGGTGTCGTGTTTGAAAACTTCATTTAAATGAAGCGATGGGAGTCGCCTCGCCCACGCAGAGCACCTGGCCGATAAGGAAGAAGAATCTGCCAAGTGTGGCGTCTACGGGGGGGTTATGCTCCTCTAATCGACCTTGATCTCCATTCCCGCAGCCATGGTTTCCTCTGATGACCCCTAATGGATCCCAATCCAGCCCTAAGGGACCTGCAGTCGGTCCATGTTTTTGCTCCTTCCAAGCTCCCTGCCCCACAGTCCACAGTGGATTCCCCTCCTCCGCTATAGCATTTCTACACAGGGGGGGTCTGGTTTTCAGAAAATGATTTTTTTTTTTCTCCCTGCCCTCATGCTCCATCTCCCAGTCAAACATGTGATATGTGTGACGCGTTCTGCAGCGCCCTCCGCAGGCACACCATGCTATTGTACCCTCGTTCTGGATAGAGCGGCCATGTGCATCTACGTTTGATCTTCCCTGAAAAATGCACCAGTCAGATAACCCTGATTTAATGCTGATGGGCCTTTTAAGGGGCAATTTAAATACCCTGCTCTAGCAGATGTTTGCAAATAGCCCTCAAGAACATCAAACCCAATTCTGGCTGAAATGTTCCTGCAGTACAGTGGTCGGTCTCTCTCTCTCT